AAGCCAAGACTGAGGGGCTTTAGGCATGTGGTGACCTGTTTGCTTGTTTAAATCCAGTCCCTTTGAGGAGGAACTAGAAGTTGACAACTTTTAATGACAGCTTGGAAGTGGTTTTAAAAGCTGCAACTTTGTTGATACTAGCTGCTATTCTCAGTGTTGAACTTCACTAGTCTATTCCTTAAACCAGATGCAACCCACAGATTAACCCACAGATTTGATTTTATTTCATGAAGGGAGATGGTGATACAGGCAATTCCTTCTCTCCTCAATGAAAACACCATTTTGGCATTGTAAAAGTATCCAAGCTAGGAAAACTCTTGCTGCTCCACCATTCTGCTATGGTCTGATAGCAAAATACTTACAAATACATGCAGACAGTAAAACAGAAGCTAAGGATACACTGGCAGAACACCTGCATTGATGCAGAGATACATCAAAGATACACTTACACACCACTTCAACCTCCTTGTACAGACCTTATTTTTGAGGTGTGGAATTACATAAGTGAGCTTGTTCTGGTTTCCATAGTGAGCATTTCTGTCTTTATAAACTCCATTAATTTAACATTTTCCCATTTTATTGTACTTTAATGAAAGCATCCAAAGCCAAAATCAGATAAAAATTAGTAAGTTTTTTATAAAACACAGGAAATACCAACTGATGTGCGTAATTATGCTTGTCTAACCTTGGACAGTATCTGGAGAATTTCACACAGAATCACAGAATCACAGAACGTTAGGGATTGGAAGGAACCTCAAAAGATCATCTAGTCCAATCCCCCTGCCGGAGCAGGAACGCCTAGATGAGGTTACACAGGAAGGCGTCCAGGCGGGTTTTGAATGTCTCCAGAGAAGGAGACTCTACAACCTCTCTGGGCAGCCTGTTCCAGTGCTCTGTTACCCTCACTGAGAAGAAGTTTCTTCTCAAATTTAAGTGGAACCTCCTGTGTTCCAGCTTGTGTCCGTTACCCCTTGTCTTATCATTGTTTGTCACCGAGAAGAGCCTGGCTCCATCCTCGTGACACTCACCCTTTAAATATTTATAAACATGAATGAGATCTCCCCTCAGTCTCCTCTTCTACAAACTAAAGAGACCCAGCTCCCTCAGCTGCTCCTCATAAGGGAGATGCTCCACTCCCTTAATCATCTTTGTAGCCCTACGCTGGACTCTCTCCAGCAGTTCCCTGTCCTTCTTGAACTGAGGGGCCCAGAACTGGACGCAGTATTCCAGATGCGGTCTCACCAGGGCAGAGTAGAGGGGGAGGAGAACCTCTCTCGACCTAATTTGAATCCCTAGCGCCTGTAACATTCCAAGCCTCACACAAGGTCACTCTATAGACAATCCAGATTAGGAGTCACGGTGGTCATCCAAGCAAAGCCTAAGAAGGTGACCCTGTAGAAGCACTATAAGGTGCTGCTACGTGGTCCCTAGGACACATTCAGCCAAAGAGAAGACTCCTGACTATCATTTCATTAAATACCTCATTGCTCTATATGCACTCAAGAAAAGTGCATGCATTCATTTCTTTACAGTATCAGAATTAACGGAGTGAAATGCCCTTAATAAATTCTTTGCTTTTGTTTCTAGTTGATCACTGGTCTCCAACACAGCTACTCCACATATAAAACACTTCAACAGCTTAAAACAATGTCAAGTATAGCTTTTCACTTTAAAACTTCCTATGATACAAAACCACATTTGTCTAGCAGGTCTTACCTCCAAAAGTCCATCTTCAGGTAGGTCTGTGCAGTGGACAGCGTTCTGAACCTTGTTCTTCCCAAAGACAGCACGCAGAGTTCCAGGTCGGAGATGACGGGCTATTTCCTATTGAACAGAAGGAAACCAAAAGACCTTAGTGAACCACACTGTTCCTTTGTATCCTGGACACAACAGAATCTTATAAAGTAAAACATTATTGTGCTATTAATATATGTCTTGTACACTGTAAAAGAAAATGAAAAGGGAAATTCCAGCTTGCACTATACACATACATAACTGCTGAAAAAACATGGCCAAGATTGTGAAAACGAACTGCTTGAAATTGGGCCAATCAAGACACCTCGGGTGAAATGCAGAACCCTTCATACTACAGATTCACCTTCCTGGCACTTGCAGTTAGCTCATGTTAACATCTTTGCAGCAATCAAGCACAGAATGTGCTGTCCTTAGTGAGCAGACACAAGTGCATCACCTTGCAGACTGCCCCCCATTCTCCACTCTTTGGAGTTGCCATTTCAATCCTCTTCTTCATGTACAATGCCAAACACCTCCTTGGCCTCTCAGAGTGTTTCCCTAACTACAGCAAATATCACTCTGGTCCTGAGACAACATTCCTTCCCCATTTCTTTACTGTGGTATATCTCCTATCTTATACCACAGAGGACTGCCTTCATTGGCTCTCCCCTCCACCATGCTCTTTTTTTCAAGGCATAACGCTGTACTTCTCTGCATTATCACCTTGCAATGTTGTCTTTTAACCCCTTTCCTATGCCTACTGTCCTACACCTTGTTGGCCTCCCTTCCTAACACCCTGGGGCTCTTCTCCAAGCCAACCTCATGCACAGTGTGCCTGGTTAACCCTGATGTTAACCCAATTTTCCCTCCCTTTGGACATTCTTCCATAAGTGCCTCCTGAGCACTGCCGCCTCTGAGGGGGCAGGCTGATGACAAACTCACACTACAGTTACTGAATAAAAAAAGTATTCTCCCTCACCAACAGAGCTTACGCTGGCCCCTTTCTGACAAGGCACTGGGTACATCAGGGTGTAATCACTTTGAAAGCAGCCAGTGTGGTTTCACAGTGCCACTCCCAGGTGTTTGTTTTGGTGTCACAGCTGGAGGTTACTGTCCCCACAGCCAAGTCACCAGACTGGATCGTCCAAGCATTTCTTAACTTTCAGTGTTAATGGGTTCAAAGTGACTTCAGCAGTGGCTCTTGGCTGACCCGGAAAACTTTGCACAGGTACAGATGAGAACCACTCACAGAATGCACAGGTCTTCTGGGACAGCAGTGAATTATTTAAGCTAGTTCCAAAAGACCTCACAAGAGCATTATCTGACAACACTCTTGAGCCATTTTCCAGTTTCACCCACTTGTCATTACTAAACTAATTGGACTTTAAGGGCAAGGTCTTCTCTCAGCCCAGCAAGTATTAGATATTTTCCTGTAATAGCAGTTAACAATTATGGTGATCTGTTACCAAGTAACCTACATCTGTTACTGATGGTGATCTGTTACTCACCTGGAAGACAATTAAATTGTTTTAATGCTTGGAGTATGCCTAACCCAAAATATGTTATGAGGAGAAGTTTCAGTTCCCCACTGTTATCGTGTGTATGTCGGTTACACAGAATCTTTGGATATGGATGTCATGGATATTTGAGTAAGATACACTCAACATCAAAAAACAATTTCTTCAGAGGGAAGTTCAAGAGTTTCACTTTTAAAAAAAAAGGCCCAAGGAGAAAAAAACCAACCTTCTCCACACAGTTCTCATTAAAGGCTTGTGATAGGTAAGTCTGCTGGAGAAACAAAAGTCACATGCCAGTTAACTATAGTTACATGAGACATTAATGAACTCTTCCTTGAAACTGATGATTCCAGTAACAACTAGCTGTCAGGAAGCCAGCAACAGCACTAGGTTTTCAATTACTTTATGGGAAGTTTGGACACATTAGAAAAAAATATTGTGGCTATGAAACCTTTGGAAACACTTAAGCAAGAAACAGCAAATATCTAAAAAGCTAAAGTTTGGTATTTCAGATTCTGTTTATGTCCTACACTACTTTTATGTTCTGTTCTACTTTGAGCAAAATCTTTTGCTCAAACTGTTCAGTCCTCCAACAGGTACAAAAACTTTCCCAAGTTTTCCCTTAAGTCTTCTCCCTCAGTTTCTTCCTACCATTGGCAAAAGCACCTACTGTTGGCAGTATGCAATCTCCTGTTCTTCCTTCAGTTTTTCAACACAGGTTGTTACGCTTTCTCCCGGCCTCCTGAAACTCATCAGCCATCTTGCACAAAAAGGCACTCTTCCTGTTCTGCCTGGGATTGCAGAGCAATTGTTTGAGCTAAATAGAACTAACTTTCTATTTAGTGATTTTACTTTTCAGCTCAGTCTCTTCTAAGTGGCTGTACTTGCTGAAACTAATGGCATGTTTTTCCAGACAGTATGTACTGCTACAAATGATAATGACAAGGTCACTGTCTTACCATGGGTGCTGTATCTGCACCTACGGGGAGCAGCAGACCCAGAACTGACCAACTAGGTATTCCATCCCACATACATCATACTCGGTATAGAGCTGAGGGATCACGAGGGTCTCGACCCTTCCATCTTGACCCCTTCCCTCCTGCTCTGATCCTGCAATGGCCAAAGTCCGAGCAGAACCCTGCTAGTTTGTCTGCCTCCAATCCTGATCCATATGTTCCTGCATCCTGCTCCCACTGGCTGCTGAGTCTGGAGTGGGACTTTTCCAGTGCCCTGCTCCACAGAGCCACTGGAGATGTAATCGTCATGGGGGGGGGGGTGGTGAGGGGAGGATTTTATATTGGTTTTATATATATTTGTACGTATCTGTATATATTTCATTATTTTTCAATTTATACTATTATCCTGTAGTATTAGTATTACTGTTTCATTAAATCTGTTAGTTTTATTTTCCAACCCGTAAAGTCTCTCTCCCTTATTCTCTTTTCTCTTCTCTTCTGGGGAGGGGAGAGGGGTTAATATAGAGCATCTGTCCAGGATTTAGTGGCCAAACCCGCTCCAAACCATGACAGTGTTAGATCAGAATTACACAAAAGTGAGTCCTCCAGCACTTTACATTGTAAGTACCTGATTAAGAATCTAAGTCTTTCTCACCATCAGTTAACAAAGAGGATGAGAAATAAAGCAGTTTCTGTTTATATTTACATAGCTAAGAAAGGACAATAATTTGTCAATTCTGAAGTTTTACTATTCTGTTTCTTTCTTACTACAGCACGGAGGAACCCTGAGAGAACAAGGCCTCTGTAAATGATGGAGATACAAAGAGCTGCATGGATCATATACAGGTGTCCTTGTATGTGTATGGCTGCAAATCTTGGGAATGTTTCAGGGAAGGAGGAACAGTTCCTTACAGAATACACTATCTGTGGCGAAACAAACCAGGGCTGCTGTATCAAAAGGCTTCACCCTCTTTGGTCTTACTCAGCAGGATGTTTAATCACACCTTACAGGCCGGGCTTTAATCTACAGCTAGACCTTTGAAGAAACTTGTCATACACAAAATACAGATGCATATATTTCATGTTTCTCTCTAGCATATAATTGTGCCTGTTGAAAAGGGCCTCAAAAAAGACCTCACTCAAGGACATGATTTTTGTAACTGTGACTGATACATCCCAGTACAGATACATCCTGGTACATTCTGAAGGACTACAGATAAACCAGCAGAACACTGGCTGAGACCAGGATAAGGGAGCTGAGGAAAAGGGTCCAGGAAAGACCACATATGGGAGAAAGACTCAAGAGCTTATGGAAAGAACAGCAAGAGTGCCTGTTCAGAACCACAAAGGACCACCAGAAACCACCAAAGGACCCCTTGGACACAAGCACAGTTTGATCCAAGAATGATTCAGCAGATAATTAAATGCACTATAATAGTAGCTCAGATTATGCAATCCTGAAACTTGTATGTATAAATATGCCAAGAAAAGTGCCAGTAGCGGTGTGAGCTTGGATGGAATAAATAATGCCCCTCGCACCCAACATCGAATAAAGAATGCCTGCTTCTTAATGCTACATTGGTGTTCAGAGGTTTTTCTGTTCCTGATTTCAGTGACATGCCCAATGCAGCACTGACTGTATTAAGTACTTAGCACATTCTAAAATCTTTCTATTTTCTATACAAGGGGAACAAAAATGGCACCAATGCCAGTAATATGTCAAAACCAGTCTGAAAAACCATAAATATACACATGAGCAAAGCTCATTAACTGCTTTTCCTTCAAATGGCTGCATTTAACATTTGTATTAATGTATTAAACATCTCTGCATGCTTTCTTGTTCTTTAAATGGCATTCAAGGAAAAGTCAAAGAGGCAACCACTGACTCTGTGCAGCAACCATCCCCTTCCTCCTCAGTGGGAAACAGCACAAACTCTGAATGGATAAAAAGACACATAAATGAACTTCTACAGCCTAAAACCTTGTTCTACTTGAACATGAACTAGAACAAGGGAACCTTGAAAATTCATTACTGGTTTTCTTGAGTGAAGCAGAATAAAATTAAGAGAGTTTGTGATCAAACCCCTTCCTACCCACTGTGTGCTCCCAGGGCAAGTTCATTCTTTTAGGTTTGCTTTCAGGCCAGCAGCATGCAGAGGACTTCTTGGGCTGCAACAAACTCCACACAGTCCCCACTAAGCGCCCAGTAAAACACCTTGTTTTCCTTCTCCAAGTCCTGACTGCATCTGCTCCTTGCTCTTCTTGGCATTCCTCTCTCTTTCTGAAGGCTTTCTGTTGACTGAGTCTTCCCACCTCTGCTTTCCCCACCCTGCACTCATGAAACTTTCTTCTTCTGCAGTTCTCCATGCTCTGCTGCTGTCAGGAAAGATGGTCCTTCTTTCACACTGAGGGTGCCAACTGATCCAGAAGGTAGTAGCCAGCCTCAGGCAAACAAGCAAGTGCCTTTCTCCTTTTAAGGACCAGTTACACCCTTGCCAAGAGAACAGAACACACATTAACTGGGAACAAACAAAATAATGTATATTCCATCACTTGCCATGGAATTTGTCTGGCTCAGCTTTAGTCATCAGAAAAGTGACTGCCTTGAACAAGCAAG